ACTATACTATGACTTTTTATGCCTTACTATACTATGATGTTTTTATGACTTTTTATGCCTTACTATACTATGACGTTTTTATGACTTTTTATGCCTTACTATACTATGATGTTTTTACGCCTTACTATATTATGACGTTTTTATGCCTTACCCTACTATGACATTTTATGCCTTACCATACTATGACGATTTCTGCCTTACTATACCACATTTTTATTCCTTATGATTCAATGACTTATTTACCATGTGGCACAGTGTTTAGAACTGTGGCTTTCCATTGAGAAGGTTGAGAGTTCGAATCCTGGGCTTGGCAGGGCCTGGTTCCTCCCACACTCCAAAGACATATGCATTAGCTTTATTGGCGACTGTAATGCTGACATTTTGAGCCAGTGTCTCAAAATCCCCCCATTTTTATTGAAGTGTAATAGTAAGGCACTGGAGTGGGGTACGCCAATGCAAAAATAAAAATACAGAATTTTTTTTCATATCAACAAGGTCATTGAACTAGCAACATGATTTGCAGTAAAAAAAGAAGCACACACAATATACTGTACCATTATAAATTTTATAGTGGAAAAGAGCAGCAGATCTTCATGTAGATTCAGTGGATTCATTACTGCAGCAAGTACAGAAATGTGTGTGTGCTGCAGCAGCAGTGGTGTTATAGATGTGCTGTGCTCATCAGTAGAGCGGCTAGTCCAGTCAAAGCCTCTGCCCTCCCCCCAATACATCACACTCACTCACACACACACTCCCACCCACCCATTTACTGTTGCGCAGTCAGGTGTACACGCACACGCACGCACGCACACACACACACGCACACACACACACGCACACACACGCACACACACACAACACACACACACACACACACACACACACACAATCCCCCCTCATAGATATAGAGTCAGCAGCTTCCTCTTAACAATGACTGATATCCACAGTGCTGTTACACTGTCTGTTAGCCAGAGCTCACTGTGCTTTAGACCAGTGGCATGCTGGGAGATTGCAGCCTGTGGAGGCACAAGAATGATGCAGGTTCAGCTACCAGAACCAACCGGGGAACACTGTGCAGATGAAAAAACACAGATATATCTTAAATAAAGTGTTTATAATCATCTTATCACACATTATACACTGTATGCAAACAGATGTGTATCACACCTGTTAAGTCTGCTGCTGGCATGATGTTTTACATCTTAAACATTTGGCTGTCTGTGATCATATGACTGCACAAAGACATTCAGCAGATGTGTAAATTAAATTCACATGAGAAATAAGATTTATGCCCAAAATGAAACATGTCAACAGCAAACACACGTCTAATTATGCAAGTATAACTTTTTATAGCATGACTGATTAAAGGTGGTAGCCACTGCATCAGGGACTGAAGGTAACAGGGCCGCAAGCAATGACTTATAAACCTAACTGAGAAGTATCTCAAGCTGTCACGGGCCAGCTGAAAGAAAACTGGGAAGATTTGACAGCTGTTGTTTTCCAGAAGATGTGCCTCATTTCATAGTGCTGCAAATATGAAATGAAATGAAAATGAAACACGTTTATTTATATTTATTTATATAGAGAGTCACAGATTTAAGCATTTCATGGTCAATGCATAACTGAGGGACAACAGGATAAATTGATGATGGCATTGATAAGTTACACATGTTCAGATGGGTAACAAATGAAAGAAAAAACTGAACATAGGAATACAGGTAAATACATACAGGTGTACTACATGATAATTTGATGATTTCAACACACTTGAACACCTATGGGAGATTTCGGACCATTGTGTTAGACAGCACTCTCCACCACCATCATCAAAACGCCTAATGAGGAGTATCTTTTTGAAGAATGGTGTCCATCTCTCTAGCAGAGTTCCACAAACTCTATCTAAGCTCACAGTTACATTAAAATCAAACAGTAAATGTTAATAAAATCATAATGTTAACAGCATGGTAACCTTGAAACGTCTTTTAAATTACCCCTAAAATGCATTTGTAATGGACAACTAATGCTTGAAAATGTGTAAAAAAGTGAACCTTGAGTTTAAAATATTATATCAATGCTCAAAAAAAAATAAAGGATTCTGTATGTGGAGAACTGAGGTAGCTAAATGTTTACAGCACATAAACAAACACAACATCTGTAGTTCGATTCCAGCTTGGGACCTTTGTTGCTTGTCACTCCCCTTCTCTCTCCTTCATGTTTCTAGTCTGCCTCTCTGCTGACTGTCAAATAAAATCAAAAAATGTCAATAGATAATCTCAAGCTAGCATTAGCAACCCACTCTGTTCCTCCCATCGCTTTCTCTTTGTCCATCTCTAATTGGTTAGTGTGGCGAGGCTCATTCAAAAACATTAGAGAGCATTATCCCTGCTTTGCTGCCAGGCTGTTCAATCAGTCTGGGTCACAGGAAATGACCTGAAGACAGAAACTTTCCACAATAAAATACATTTTGCAGCCTATTTCTACTAATAAATATTATTTTAAAAAGTTCCATACTGTACCGTTAAAAGACAACATGAAAAATACAAATAATTTAAAATATTAATTACATTGTCTGTTGTGGATATTGTGAGGGAAGGGGAGTGGACTGGTTGGCCTCAGCACTGCACCAGCACTGACAACATGTGTAATGTAGATAATCTTACCACAGTATGACTCTCAGCGTGTGCTCAAGTCTGCTGTTCATGTTATCAAATGAACACTGTTTAAATCCAGATTCAGTTTAGCTGAAAGTCAAATTGGGTGTTTTATAATTTAAAGCTCTAAAAAGCTCTGTATCTGTTCTTTAACCACATAATCCCTGTCTGAATTTTGGGGCCATGCTCCATGCATTGGCACAGACACATCCCCCAGTGTGTTGTTGTTGTCGAGTTCTGAGCCTCCAGCATATATTAGCTCTAATTTCACAAGGATTTCTTATTTATTTATGTTTTTTTGGAATATGAACAAGGATGAAGTCAATAAAGTATCGGCTCTGCAGGGTTTAGACCTCTGGAAAACAACGGGCGAGCATCCTAATGCATATGTTTATTTATCTTCAAGAATATCCACGAGGCCTGATGATTTAATGCGTTTTTAGACTCACTAAGATGACCTCAAGCTATTTTTACTGACATGTTTGTGTTTCCTCATGCATACTACTTAGTTGTTTTTCCAAGCGGAAAAAATCCACAGAGCAAATTCTGTGGTTTTATAAGCTTGATTACTTAGGAGAGAAAATCCTGTTTTACTAGTGGGGTGTCTGGCAGAGACCGCGGGACCTCTGGAAGCTGCTGCAGTGCTCACACCGCGCAGACTGTGCCACGTAGGGTAATTCATCTTCCTGTTTCCCTCCAACAAAGGCAGCAAAACAATCAGTAAACAGTCGGCTCATTAAAACCACATTGGCATGCTCATCCCTTACATCTGCGAGCCTCTGTTAGGTCGCGTAAAAACGACCTTACATCACTCAGCCACTGAAAAGGTGCTTTACAGAGCAAACAATAGCATCCCAGATTCAAAGTGAATCGATTGTAATTGCTTTTGTGCGCGCACCTTTTCTCTGTGTCGTTTGATCGCATTCCCCTGAGCGCCTAACGGTAATGTGTTTGTCACCAGACAGTGAACATAAGTAAAGCTGCAGGGATTGGGTGCCAGAGCCTGAGTAAAGTGATGAACGCAACCTAGTGTGAACCTCACACTGATCTCCAAACAGCAGACAAGCCCTCTGTCTTACAGCCGGCTCCTTTTCTCTCTGTCTCTGTGCGCACAGCAGCAGAGGGCAGCGCAGCCTGGACTTCTGCAGGCTCAGGAGTTTACCTAATTATCTGGCATTATGTCTAAATGGAAGGCTTCCCTCTATCATCCCATGCCACATGGCCACAACAGGGATAAGCCGCAGTCTTACAAACCATTAGGCTTTACAGGCACTTGACCTGAGGACGCAGGACTCTGACACAGAAAGTGAGGCTGTGGGGGCCGTGCCTTGATCAGAGCACTAAAGCAGTAAAGAGCATAGCCAGACATATTCATCTCAGTGTTGTGGGGGCAACAAAAATCTAATATTACAGCTGCAGTTTACTGTGAAGTGCAAATGTGAAGTCATTATAAACCCATGTGGTCGGATGCATGATCTAATTTCTTTTTTCTGTGATCAAATAGTCTCTGACCTAATGGCTGAATGGTTAGGGCACATGGGTTCAAATGCCCTGAACAGCCAATCCCCGGTTTGACTCCTGACCGGCCCCTTCCCCCTATTCTCTCCTGTATTTCCTGTCTGTCTCTATCAAATAAAGCCAAAAAAGTAGCTCCTGGAGTTGCATGTCATCCCCTCTCTCTTCCCCAACTTTAAATCGCAGTTTTGACCAGTTTATTTAGGCTGCTTGTGTTTAAACAGGATTTAACTTTGTTTAATAAGGTACATAAGGTTTTAAAAAAAGTGTGAGTTTGGTATCAGTATCAAAGCTTTTGGAAGCAATACCAAACCTCAATGCTGAGGCTAAAAGTTTAAACCTGGCCCTGTATTTATAACCACATAGTCACTGATTCTGTTTTAAGTAATACCATCATTTGGCCATCCAGCGACACACAGTTTCTATGCAGATCCCTGCTGCCAAGAGTGAATACATGAAACTGAATGAGTATAAAGCAGCACTTGTTCCTCGAGTAAGTAAGGGTTTTGCAAATACGCAGCAGTAGCAGGAGTGGGTGGAGGGAAAACCAGTGATGTGACCACAGAGCAGACAGTGGTGGGACTGCTGGAATGTCCCACAGGTTGTTATTATGGACATGAGGATGGACACACAACCCGCCAACATTCCCAGAGCACCAGTTCTTATTTACTGCTGTATAGAAGCTTCAGTGCTGACCCAATAAAAAGATTAACTGGTACTTTACAGTGTTTGTTTATGGTTGTTGGAGCTGTCGGGTTATCTCACCACACTCCAAATGCTCTGAACAATGGCTGTGCTGATGGTAATGCTGGCAATTTCCCTGTTTTTTTGCAGGTCACTGCCAGGGGATTTGCCCCATTGTTGCAGTTTGCCTACACTGCTAAGCTGTTACTCAGCAGAGAAAACATCCAGGAGGTCATCCGCTGTGCTGAATTCCTGCGCATGCACAACCTCGAGGACTCATGCTTTCGTTTCCTGGAAGCTCAGCTGCGCAGCGAGGACGACAGCCTGCTACCCTACCACAAGGTGGCCGCGGAGGCAAACAACTCAGAGGATGAGAGCATGCAGTCAGAGGCGGAAAGGCCCACCTCCCCCAGGGCGCGGCGGTGTGCCGACGCCCTCGCCTCCTTCCGACGCCCTGACAATGATCGGCTAGCGATGGCTATACCCAGTAACTTCACGGACGGCCGGCTGGACTTCGATCGGCATGGAGTGTCAGACCTGCCACGATGCCCCAAGTACAGGAAATACCAGTGGGCTTGCAACAAGCACAATATTGACACCTCCTCACACACCAGTACCTCAGGTTTTCCAAGCACATTAAAAGAGAGCAGCGTTAGCGGGGAAGTGCCGGATCAGGTCAGGCTGCCTTTGGCACAGATCAAAGTTGAACCACAGGCAGAGGAAGAGGCCATCTCATTGTGCCTGTCAGGGGATGAGCAGGATGTCAGGGATAAGGACAGTGTGACAGCCATGGAGATGGATAGCCCAATATCTATGGAAAGAACCAAGAGAACCAAGTCTCCTTCCTGCCTCCGAGCCCTCTTCAAGAAAGGGATGGACCTCCCCAGCCTGCCCAACACATCACAGCAGCTATTCGCCAACAGACTTGTTTGCCCCCAGGACAAAGGAAACTCTCAGGGAGATCATAAAAAAGACTTCAGGCCTTTCACTGGGGAGCTGGATCTGTCTGTTACATCCCCAAAGGACATGGACGGTTTCCCTGCAGGGTTGTCCCTCAAGTCCGCTTCCTGTGATGGGGTCTGCAAACAGGAAGTTGAGCTAGACCGCCGTAGTGTCATATTTTCCTCAGGGGCCTGCAACCATCTGGGAACCCCAGCGCATTCCTACCCTGGTGGGAACTCTTTGGAGATGGAGCTCTCTGAGCACATGCCAAAGGGCCTGTGGGCTGGAGCCAGCCAGTCCCTCCCCACCTCCCAGACCTACTCTCCCAGCACCACCTCCACTGAACCTCCACTCTTATGCCGCCCAAGGCCCAACACCAGCTGCCCAGTGCCAATCAAAGTGTGCCCACGCTCGCCGCCTTGTGAGACGCGTACCAGGACTTCCAGCTCCTGCTCCTCATACTCCTACGCGGAGGACGGCAGTGGAGGCTCTCCCTGTAGCCTGCCCCAATTTGAATTCTCCTCCTCGCCGTGCTCCAACGTGGCACGCTGCCTCAATGTGGACCAGCAGGAGCAGAGTGTGGGAGGGGATGCTCTTTTTAACCAAGTGCGGCCCAAGATCAAATGTGAGCAGTCCTACGGCACCAACTCCAGCGACGAGTCAGGGTCCTTCTCAGAGGGAGACAGCGAGTCCTGCCACGTACAGGAGCGGGGGCCAGAGGTGAGTGTAAAACATTGTCTTTCACATGTAACACACAACGAGCAATCGCACTCAATTCCACCATGGCTAATTATACTGCAGTGGCCTGCTCTCCAGGTCTGCATTAGCAGTCATTAAATCATCATGTAATTGAAGTAGGAGTGTTCAGCACAAGATTTACAGCACCACCAAAGGGCACAGATGTGCTTTGATATTATTAATCTGCTTCATGCATGGCTGGAGATGTGTGTAATGAGTCTGAATATCAGAGCCCAAATGCACCAGGACAGTCTAAACGCAGGAGGCTGTGGTGCTGTTTTTAAGACCGTGATTGGTTGATCATCCTCCCTGAGAGGAGTGTGTTTGTGAAAAGCGCTGCGGGGTCAGGATTCTCCCGGGGTAGACCTGCCCTCTGAAGTGATTCCCTCTGGCTGTGTTTTATCTCTCTGCCAGTGCCAACTAGCCTAAGTATCTCGTTTTATCCCGAGCAGAAACACTGACGCTTGTAATCCGTCTCCATAAATATGCATATGCTAATTCTCAGCGCAGTCTTTAGCCGACTTGTGACATTTCTCATCTATCAACAATTAGCTGCAGCCACGGTGAAGGTGTGCGATTACAGGGATTACAACCAAAACATTACAGCAGTGGTGCGCCCGTGGAATGAGAGTGGACAGGGAGGTTGAGCTTTGGGCTGTAGTGCAGTCTGACAGTGCTGACGATGACGGATGAATAGCCAATCCTCTAATCATCCTCCCCTTAATCCACCTGGGCAGACGTCCTCCAAAGCTGCAGACTAGACGACTGTTGTTGTTTACCAGGTAAAGATCAGTGAGGGACTCTAGCACACACAGATGGAGCTGCAGCTCAGGTGTAACAATATGAAATGAGCAAATTTACCACCCGAGGGAAAGTATATAGAAAGATCCTCATAGTGCTCGCTTTAATTTTTTAAAACTTCCATCTGCACCTCGCCTGCACATGTGAGTCAGATGAGAACTTGACGCCTGTGATGTCGTATGTTGGCTTTAAATGACAAACTTTCAGTGCCAGGCCATCTTTGACTCGATGTTACATTCAGCAATGTTTGCTTGTGTAGACAGAATTATTTTTGATGAGCTCGGCGGGGGGGGGGGCTCTAAAGTGCACAGAGGAGAGAAAAGAGAGAGAGAGAGAGAGGGAGAGAAACTGGTGTGTTGCCATGGTGATCAGATTTACAGAGCAAGTTGCAAGGGTTGGAGCTACATGACAGGATTGTGCTTTTCCGTGTAAAGAATTCAGTTCCACCCCGCAAGATAAAGAGGCTCAGCAGTAATGTGTAATTATTACCTTCGTAGCGTGACCCGTCGCCATTAGATTTATGGGCTTTTGAAGGGTCTGCTGAATGTGCTGCTGTAAATTATATGGGACTGATTTACAACGCAGAGCTGTCAGTCCAGCTCAAAAATGACCACAAGACATTTCAGTTCCCTTTGTCATATCTTTGTGCGGGTAAGGCCGTGTTTATATCTGTCAGCCATTGTAGGTTGTCCATTACGCACTGACTTATACAAGGTTATCTGCCAGCTATCGCAGGCTGTTGATAACATTCTTCATGAATGAATGTTTCCCAGATCTGTCTGCTCTAGAGTTTATTGCACTGGTGTTATATAGCGGAGGTCACAGAGGGGTAGTTGCAAAATGAAGCTCAGTGTTAGGTTACTCCCCTTTGGCCTTTATGTGGTGAAGAAATGCTACCTCATGCTTCCTGGGCCGCTCTTTTTCCTACTGCCGTGCACAAACAAACACATGTAGAAGGATGTCCTCTCTGTGTTTGCTGAGCAAATGGCAGAGGGGTAAAGCAGCTTTGGTAAAAATAGCTGCAGCCCAGGACCGCGGACTGGACACAATGAATACCGATGAGGAAGGAAGTTATTAAAGTGCAGGTCCGTCTGACTGGAGCGTAGTCATTCAAGGTACAGTGGCCAGAGTCACTCGAGGTCTCTGGGCAGCTTCTGCTCTGTGGTTATGGGTCTGTTGCATTGAAGTGAGCCAGATCTGTGGAGAGGGCTATCAGTAGTTTGTCACAGCAGACAGCATAGTCACCTCAAACGGACATGTAACTTCTGAAAAGTCATCAACAACTTCAAAAGTCTGGCTCTTTGAGGGGAATTTGATGTATAGTGTCACAGTGGTTTATATTGGTCTCAGAGTAAATTAGTCTTAATTGTTATGACTGGAGTAGTGTATACTGCTAGAGTCAAAGTCTGATGTATCTCCTAGCAGTGATTGAATTAAGAAAATGTATAGTGTAAAGGGAGAAAGTGAAATCTTGGAGCTATTCCTGTAATAAGCTATGCCTATAGTATAATATACTAAATACTTAAATAAGGGATTAAATGTAAAATAATACATTAGAAATAAAAGATAAGCTGTGCCAGTTGGAGTTGGGTGTATGATGGCTGGATATACAGTGTATTCAGAAAGTATTCAGACCCCTTCACTCTTCATATGTTGTTATGTTGCAGCCTTATACTAACAATAAAAAAAACCTCATCAGTCTAAACTCAATTCCCCATAATGACAAAGAGAAAACTTTAGAAAAATTAAAAAAAAGAAAAGAAATATCATGTTAACATAAGTATTCAGACAATTTTCTATGACACATCTCATGTACCTCACATTTCTCTTGATCCTCTTTGAGATGTTTCTGCTCCGTGGTTGGAGTCCACCTGTGGTAAATACAATTGAAAAAAAAAAAAAGAAGAAGAAATATGAAAAAAAGTGACTGAGTCTGAACTCTTTAAAAATGCACTGCAGGATGTGGCTGCTAGAATATGTTATTAGTTTATTATGTACAGACAAATAGGCTATTGTTATCATACCTCTGTTCTGTTTGCTAAATTGAATGAGATAAAGAGGAAAGAAATAATGAATAGTTGAATTCATAAGAAATAAAATGCACCTTTATTTTAGGTCAATACTTGTGTGCTATAACCAGTAGCTTATAGGTGGTTAGCTAATGTTAGCATCATTGAGTTCACTGACTTTGTGACTCTTCTGACATTGTGCTACTGACACACTACGTTTTAGCATTCATCATAATTGTATAATTGCAAAAAACTGCTAAATTCATTAGCAGTAAAACATATTTTTGCTCAGTTTAGTACAGGTAGCTCACATTTCAGAAGGTCTGGAATGAACCGTAAACTTAGCTAATTTAGAAACGATATTGTTGTGTAGCTAACAAAACTGAGTCAGTTTGCTGACTTTATGACTCTTTGTTGCTTGTGCTAATATTGTAGCATTTATCATGTAACATTTTTTTTTTTAAAGTTGTATTGATTAGCAATTATTTGTATTCTTGCTCATTTTAATACACTCAGGGGGTGCTGCAGCCTTACTATAGCTTTTGGTGGCTAATGTTGCCTAATTTAAGCTAACTTTAGATCAATAACACTGTGTAACAGACATTACTGAGCCAGTGTACTAACTTTATGGCTCTCCTATTCTTGTTGTACTATTACACTATGTTTTTACATTCACCATTAACCCATAAAATTCTATTGTACCAGAAATTGCACTACCAATATGGTGGCTAATGTTGGCTAATATTAGCAAACTGAGATTACACTGTGTCATTTCACTGACTTTATTCTTTACTTACATTTTAGTTTAGTTTTAGCACTTCTTTCCCTGGGCACAGTGTCCACTTTTTAGTTACAAAGTCTTGCTTTAATGGCTTTTATGGATTGTATTTTTTTTTTTTTTTTTTTGCAACAGCCTCCCAGTAGGTCTCAACTCTGAGTAAATCCGAGCTTGCAATTGCACAGCTCAGAGTTAATGTCCTGCACAGTGACTTTTGGACCCCACTGTATGCTGCCACAATCCCACCTGGATTTGCCAGCGCTGAAGGAGAGTTTGAGAGCTGCATCCACCAGTATGTGGATTTATAGAGATGCATACACAGCACCATTTGTTCCCTAGTCTGTCTCCTCCTCTCTTTGTCTCTCTCAGAGCTCCAGCTCCTGGTTACAGTGTAGGCGTTGAGCTCATTCCAGCGTATTGTCTGGCCGCAGAGGTGCAAATATTGATCTCAGAGCGAGTGGGAGATTTAGGAAGTAGTCCTCATACATCACCACACTTTTCTTCTTCTTCCTTTTTTATCATGCAAACCATAAAGTAGAATGAACTTGCGACAGGAAGTGCACAGACCTTAATATTAGTTCCACTACTCTTGCACAATGCCAGAGATGCATTGCTCTATTCTAGATATGATGTGGCTGTGGTCGTTGCCATTCATAATGTTAGCTGTGGAGCTATTTACTTGTTTTAGTCATATCCAATAGTGATAATAGTAAATGCATAACATGTCAGATAAATTAGTGACTGGTGCCTTTTTCAAGTGAGATTATCCTCTCATCCCAGGGCACTATGGGTAATTTAACTGAAGCAGCGTAATGTATATAGTGTGATTTTATTGTTATGTAATGGAATACAAACATGTGGCATCTAAATGTGATGATGAGTGCAGCTGCATGGCAGTAGAGTGGGTACAGTAGCTATTAATGAAATAGCAATGGAGTCTTGTTTACACACTGTGTGATATGTGCAAGGAGACTTATTCGAGTTTAATACAAGGGGGATGTTTGCCCGTTCATTTCCCTCTTAAATCTATATTTAGCAAGAGTGATGTGTATAAGAAATTAATTTTGTAGCCTACAAAGTACACAGAGGGAGACTTGTTCAAATTGAGCAACAGGAGTGCTGTTTACCCAAGAATTTTTCTTTGAAATCTATATTTATCCGTGATGCATATTCAGAATATAGCAGTAACAAGGTAATGAGATATAAAGCCATTTCATTACCTCCCGAATCGCATCAAATCAACCGTGTTGTATCGCTCAGGAGGGCTGAGTGGAGAGGGATAAATATAAAAAGGAGGTTTTGTGCTTTTATTTGTTGAGCCTGCAGAGAAGAGGATAGTGTGTGTAGTGTGTGATCAGGCTGGACGGGAGATTCCCAGGATACTGCTACAGCTG